GAAAAGTAGGAGGGAGGGAGGGACCAAGAGAAGAAGGGAAGGAGAGGAAGGAAGAGAGAGGGAGAGAGAGGAAGGAGGAAGGAAGGAGAGAAAAAGGAAAGAAGGAGGGAGGAAAGAGAGAAGTAGGAAGGAGGGAGCAAGGGAAGAGGGATGAAAGGTGGGAAGGAAGGAAAGAAAGAGAGTGAGTTGGTTGGAGGAAGGGAGGGAGGGAGGGAGGGAGGGTGGGTGGGTCGGTCGGTGAGTGGGTGGGAGGGGACAAAGAGAGGGATGGAAGGGATAGAGGGAGAGTGATAGGCAGAAAGATGAGAGGAAGAGAGAGTAGGAAGAAGGAAGGGAGTAGGATGAAGAAAGAGAGTAGGGAGAAGAAAGAGAGTAGGAAGAAGGGAGAGAGTAGGGAGAATAGAGAGTATGATGAAGAAAGAGAGAAGGGAGAAGAAAGAGAGGGGAGGAGACCGAGAGGGAGAGAAAGTGGGAGGAAGAGAGAGAGAAGTAGGAGGAAGAGAGAGAGACATGTTTGATTTTTTCATTTGTTTGTGTAGACATTCCATTCTGTATTGAAATATATTCTTGTCTTAATGTGAAGTTAACAGTGTCACCCTTTTCAGTACGGGCTGTATCGAGATGAGCATCAAGATTTCAAAGAAGAAATGAAGAGATTAAGGAAACTGCGTGGGAAGGGCAAGCCAAAGAAAGGAGAGGGAAAGCGAGCCAAGAAATAAAGTATTTTTACGAGTTGATAATGGAAGTAGACATTGTATAAAGGAGAATAAAGTATTTCTAGAGTTCATAGTTGCAATATCCCAATCAGGAAGAGTCGGTAAAAGTAACTAAAAGTAACTATATTTTAGGGAAATTTTTGTTGGTTATGCTTTCTGGCTCCTAAATTGCTCTATAATATATTTTTAGATTGAACAAATTATAATGAAAAAAGTAAGAAAATTTGCAGCCTAAGTGTTCACATGCTTTTGTTGTAAAATAATTCCTGTCCATTGCATCAGTTTTTCATTCCATATTTTTGTAATTCATGAATATAGTGTGTTGTGGAAAGGAATTCCTTTTATCTTGAATCTCAAATCTTGATTATTGGATCTTACATAAAACCCATGTGACAAATACATAAATATAATAAAAGTATTATTACATATCAGTATATCTGGGGAAATCTCATTCCCAGATTTTCTTACTTTTTATTTGAGTTAAGTTGCACCCCATAACTCGTAAATATTGAACGAACCTTCTTGAATAAAATTACCTCTAAAAATAAGATGGAGAACACAAACAACAGTCAGACCTCAAGACATAAGCACATGTGAAGAAGAACAGCCTGAAGGAGAAGTCCCAGCATTTTCATATGCAAATTGGAAGGTGTTCTTACTGATAAGAAGACCAGAAATAACACCCTTTGACTGGAACTTAACAGTGTTTGCATCCCTTCATGTTTGCCAAAAGGTGTCAGGAAATCAGGAACGTCCTATGTAGCTATAAATGGGCCAAAGGTGTTATTTTTCATGTGTTTTACATGTATGATACAATGATTTGTATCACATTTCATTTCTCTTGCTTTTTACTTATTATGGGTGCATCTTGCTTTCAGTCCCATTTATTTTTGTTATTCTTGTTTAATTTTGATTTTGGTTTTGATTTTTAATCATTATTTTACTTTTAATCTATCTACTGTCAGAAAGAAGAGAGAGAGAGAGAGAGAGAGAGAAATCCTATTTTTTAAATTCTAATTAAAGTTTCATTATTGAACAATACTTGTAGACGTCATCGATTAGCTATAATTGATAACACTAGGTACCTAGGGATCATTTCACTTTCCTTCCCCCTCCCCCCCCCATCCCTTGCCTGTTGTTGTCGTTGGGGGGCTTAGGAGGCGGAGACTGGGACCCTGTGCTGGGGAACTCCACTGCCTTGGGACTCACCTTCACCAACCCCTTCTACTATCCACCTCCTAAGGCGTGAGAGCCGTGTTGAAAGGATAAAAGGCTGACTTTGTGCCAGTCCTGAACGGCCTGAGGGAGCCATGGGCACGGTATTCCCCTGCTTAGTTGCCTAAACCTTACCCCTCAAGGGGACCCTGAGGGGTGGACTGTTTCTCTCCCCAACATACTCCAGGCTTACCATGGCCAATAATGAAGATGTTATACCACTATTAGGGGCTTGCCCCTTCATCAAATAGCCCCACCAATGCAAACTCTCTTGATTTCCTGACCCCAGGCTCTCCTTTGACCACGGCTCCGAATACTACAACTACTACCCCCTCCTCAATGCCTACCAGTACAGTATCCACCCTAGACAACACTCAACCCCGAGGAGACATTTCTACTCTCCCAACATGCTCAACTTCAACACCTCTACCCCCACAACCTTCTTCATCAACTACCCCCCCCTCCCTTATTACTATTTTACAGCCTTATTTTCCACCTCTCCATAACACTACCTCCCTCAACACTACTCTCTCTTCCACACGCCCCTGTGCTTCTACTACCCCCATCTCTACAAAAATCTTAAATACTCTATTTAGCCCAGCCAAATGGGTCTGATTTTTTGTGGTCTCTCCCACAGCTCCCTACTCTGACAACACCCTTCTCTTCCAGCAATGTCTCCAAAAACAAGTAGGCAAAGTCTCTTACCGTAGCCGACCCGACCGTTCCCGTCTCGTCACAGTAACATCTGAAAACCAAGCTATAGCATTATCAAATTTAACTGATCTGTATGGTAATCCCATCCCTGCAGAACCCCATCCAACCCTCAATACTTGCACCTGAACTGTTTCTATCTCCTCAGCAAATTGCTCTATCTATAGCAAAAATTGCTCAGATTGTGGAGAAGACTTACTCGCCTATCTCATGGACTGTGATACACAGAACAGTGCTACTCCATTCCTCCTAGAGGTCATCGTAAGAACCCCATTAACATTGCCAAAATTATTTTCCGTAGACATGACCTTCCCTTTAATGTTTACATAGGTGGAGAATCCCTCCCTGTCCGACCATATCAACCTCCTCGTCAGTGCCAAAATTGTTGGTATTTAGGACATCCTGCCAAACATGGCTGTTCTACAGCCAGATGCCCACTATGTACCTAACCTGGCCATACTTGATCAAACTGCTTTGTACAATCACGCACATGTGCCAACTGTGGCGGCCTCCATAATGTATTTTATGGGGGCTACCCCACCTACAAATTTGAGTCTGAGGTAGCAACTCTCAGACTCAGACTTGGGCTCACTCTATGTGAAGCCAGACAGGAAGCACATCGACGAGTTTTTTTTTTTCTTACTCCCCACTCCAGTAATATCGCTCACTCTGCCACTCCCCCTACCTCCCAAGCTCTTACACCCTCCCCTAAACCTATCCCTCCTCCGTCTAACTTCCCCTCTTCTGCGTCCCACCTTCCCCAGTCAAATACTTTTGCCATCCTAAATCCAGGCACTCCAATCTCTACTGCAGCCCCAACACCTTCCCTCTCCCTCCCCGCACTACCCGCAACAGACAGACTAAACGTTCCACCCCATCTTCTACTACACAATCACCACCTTCCTTTGCCCCTATTCTTCAGACACCAGTCTTCTCTTACCCCCCTCACAAGAAAACCTTTGTCTCACAAAATTCCCCAACCATCTCCATTACAGAAACTCTTGAAAATATTCAAAACTATCTACTATAGTCTCAAACTGACACTGAAACCCCTCATCCACCTTCAAATTCCACAACTCTCGCTCCTTCCACACTCAAAGTGGTTGCCGATATCCATCCTCCTCCTACTCTTATCCCCCTACACCCTTTCATTCTACCCCCTCCCAACACAGCCCCCCCCCCCGACTCCAGCTCCATCTACATTAACCTTCCCGCCATCCCCTCTATCCCTTCCACTCCCTCCTGGATACACACATGAATCCCTTATATTACAACTATCCCCTTCCCCAAACCCTCCATCTCCTAAAACCCACCTGATACAACACCACCTCCCCCTTACCTTATACATCCTCCTATACCAATCCCCAATTACCATGTTGTCTCTTCCTCACATTCCCTTTATGTCTCGTCCATACTTATCAATCAGAAAACACCTTATGTCATACCTCCTTTTCAAACCACTGTCCCTTGCACAGTTATTCGTATCTTCTTCACCTCTGGATCACAGGGATTTCTACTTCTCCCCTTCTCACCCCATTGACTTTGTTGCCTTTGAAAATCCAATTTCCCAACTCCAACCACCTTTCCTCATAGTTGGTGATTTTAACTGCCGCCACACTCTTTAGAGTGATTCTATCAACTCCCGTGGCCGATCCCTAGAGCGCTTTCTCTCCACAGTTGACTTTATTATTCTTAATTCAGATCGCCCCACACACTTCGATACACGCATGAAATCTTTTTCATGTATTGACCTCTCTCAGTCCTCCCCCTCTCTTTATTTAGTTTTCCACTGATCAGTTCTAGACCACTTTCCCCTTTTCTCCTACTTAATATGTACCACTTCCTAACTCCCCACGCTAGTGCTTTGATAGAGCCGATTGGCGTTCTTTCACTTCACTCTCTGCTATTCATACCCCTCCATCCTCCCTCTCATCCATTTCTGATATAATACAATGTTTCACAACTACAATCCTAAGAGCTATTCATACAGCTATTCCTCGAACCTCAAGACCCTATACCTCCATGGTGGAATTCTGATTGCACTAAAGCACTTCGCTTAAAACGTGCAGCCTGGAACAGTTACCGCTACAAGAGAGGTACCCCAAATCAACTATCATCCCTTATCTCCTTCAAAAAGACATCCGCTTGTCTTCGTCGTACAATCCGGAATAGTAAAACAAATAGCTGGCGAAATTATGTTTCCTCAATTACATCCTCTACATCTATCTCAAATGTTTGGCGCCGAATCCATAAACTATCAGGCAAACATCCCCCCCATCCAGCCCCCGTCCTCCATATTCGAGATACCCTCATCTCTGATCCTCTCCAAGTCGCCAATAAACTGGATAGCTATTTCAGCCAGGTCAGTAGTGGTTCTCACCTTTCTCCACACTTCTCTTCCATTAAGACCATCAGGGAACGCACCCACATTATCTTCACCCTATCCTCCGCTGAGTCTTATAATGCTCCTTTTTCTTCTTCTGAACTTACAGTCGTGCCACAACACTCATGAAGGCCCTGACGGTATTCACTACCGTATGCTCCGGTAACTTCCATTTCCTCCTCATCCTTCCAGTTTACAACCACATATGGATATCAGAAAATTTTCCTTCTCATTGTCGAGCTCTTATCCTCCCCTTCCTGAACCCAATAAATCAGGTAACCTCCCTCAAGACTATCGCCCCATCGCACCAACTAGCTGCTTGTGCAAACTACTAGAGCGAATGGTTAACTTTCGCTTAATGCGGTATCTTGAATCTCACAATCTTCTCTCTCCTTCCTAGTTTGGTTTCCGCCGTGCCCGAAGCACAGCTGACCCCCTTGCTCATTTTGAGACATATACTACATCTGCATTTGCACGCCATGAATCCGTACTAACTATATTCTTTGACCTAAGAAAAGCATATGACACTACATGGCGGTACCATATTCTCCAACAATTATCCTCTCTAGGTAGACATAGAAACATGGGTGTCTTTATAAAGTCTTCCGTCTCCAAACGCACTTTCCAGGTCAAAATTGCATCTTCCACATCATCCTTCTTTCCTCAAATCGAAGGCGTCCCACAAGGCAGTGTGCTCAGTACCACTGTATTCCTTCTTGCTGTTAATGGTATGGTCTCAGTTCTACCACCAGGAGCC